ACGATTGACGAAGGAATCGACTTGGAAATTAAAGTCTCATAAAATTGGCAAACTCCGATAAAATTGAATTTAGCATTTTTACATTAGAGAATACTAACGTTTATAATTCTCGTATGCAGGACACGCATTTCAGGATATTTAATTTTATTTCGTGTCCCATATATTCCACGTTTATGACGTACGGAATACAAATTAAAATTATGCAAATCTAACCTAAATTGTCATTGTCATTTGCCTGCCGGTATCAAATGGAAGTCAATTAATTAAAGCAAGATGCTTTGTATCCTTTCGATACAATGCTCCATTGTTCGCGACGAAAGGGGGATACTAATTTACAGCGTTTACCGAGCAAACAAATTTTGCTACCCTTGTATCGTGTATGCACTTGAAACTAATTCCGGCTGTATTATAAATACTCTGTTGTAACATTCAGAACGTTACTTCTCGTAACGTTAATTTACAAAGTTTAAATTCACTAAATTTGTACCCAGAATAAATACGCGGCCAATTCTGTCAAACTAGAAAGTAAAACAGATGGTAATAAATTAATTTATCAAACTGCAAAGGCGATGCAACAGTAAAACAAAAATGAAAGGGAGACCTTTCGGCAACCAGTGTTGTATCTCTCCGATTTATGACTACGTCTTAGATTTTATTTCACGAAAAGTCGATTCTCTCGTCTTGAGCCCCACGGGCTGATCATCGGTCCACAGCATGCCCCGCCACTAACGTTCCAATTAGAGAAACGGTGCTAACTATAGCTTGTAAATTTCCTGAAGTAGAGTCCATTGCAGGGGCACCGGGTGTGCTGCCCACGCCCTTTGCGGCCATGCACGGTCTACCCTCGCCTTTAGCGGGCCCGTACAATGGGGTCCCACCTGCCGGCGGATTAGCTGGTTTGGGTGGGTTCCCTCTTGGTGCTGCTGGCCTTGGTGTACGCGTTCCTACTAACGCGCAAACGTCCGCCGTGCTGCTCGTCAGTAATCTCAACGAAGAGGTAAGTGATCTGTGACGGCAGTCGATGGAATTCGTTCGCGCGACACGTTGTCGAGGACAACACGGAGATCCGAGAGCAGGCGCGAAGACAAATTGAAAAATTTAGTTAGCGGGTAGTTTGAAAGATGAGCGAGTTCTTCGAGATTTTTCTCGATCAATCTTTTGACGGTGTTATTCATCATTTGTAAAAAACTATCTATATTTTTATTTGCGTAGATTTAATGTTATTTCGATGTAAAGTGCATAGTCTGCCAGTCGGGCGCGCAATGGTTTATTAAAATTTTTGAATTTGAACGAAGTAAATTCCGATTCGAATCTCTGCTTTTGCCTTTGGCTCTTTTCGTTTTTGGACGGCAGGGGATTTTTGCTTGAATTCGATGAAACAGAATTTTTCTCCGCGCCTTGTCGCGGGGGTAACACCTGTTAAAGCGCGCAGAACGTTTATCACGCGTCGAGGAAAATCAACATTAATTAAACACGCAAATTGTGATCGACGTACTGCACGCTTTCGATTAGGATAATTTTCAATTAACGCTGAGAGAAATGGACCAATAGATTTCCCCACGAACGAATTGCAATTGGCAGAATAATTCCTAGATACATTAATTCTGCAGTCGCCGAGACACATTTTCCTCGTATTTTCTTCCAAATCCAAATTCAATTTTTATCAATCAAACTTTTTTTCACGATAAACGTAAAAACAAAGTTTTACAATATATATCTGTGTTCTTCATCTTTAAATGATCAACTTTCAATCGTGTTAAAATTGAATGAAGAGAAAGATATTTCCTTTTTATATGTACTTTGTTTCTCTCAGCGTCTGCCTATGTACACGAAACTGGCTTAGGTACGTACGTATCCATTAAAAATTCACTTAAATCACAGCGATATAATTATAACGTAGTGCTACGTAGGCAACTCTAGCAGTTTCTCCATCCCTCGGCTCGAATTTTCCTTGTCGAACGTCTCTCAGTACATCTTCAAATATAATCCACCGTGTAGAAGAGAACTTTCGAAAATTCTTTTAATAATTTCTTTTTTTTATTCTTTTCTTAACTCTTAAGAAAGGTGTTTAGTTCGACAAGTAAAATAAATCGAGATCTCGATGCGTATGTGCCCTCTTTACGTCACAGTCCCTTCTTATCTTACCTTCTTGCCTCCACTACCCCTCATATTTTCGAAACGCATATATAGAAATCGTTCCGAACGTCATCATCCCCTCTCCCGAGTAATTCGTAGCGTTGTCAATCGACGTTACTTCCGGCGAGGCGTCTTTCATTTCTCGACGAAGATTTTCGAATATGTGTTTGAAGCAGAAAAATTCATAAGAAAGAGTACGTGGAAACTCTAGATTTCCCACATACATTTAAAACGGTGGAATCAGAATTCTCCGAACACATTGGAAATCCCGAAATTCAACTTCGTCGTAATTTCTTCGACGTTCAGGATCATTGCTCTTTCAGTGAAACCTTTTACTTTCTGTAAAAAAAAAAAAAAAAAAAAAAATTCTGCTGTATCAACGCTGCATCAATTTCATACTACTCTACTTCGTTTTCTCTCGAACTCTCTAATACGAAGGAGTAAAAATTTCGTAATCCGCAATATATCTAGTATCTATTCTCACTAGTATTTGCTACTAACTACTACATACTATCTACTAAGTATTCTCCGTCAGTATCTGCAAGTACTAGTTCTATATTAGTATCTACAAATACTAGTGCTAATACTAATTAATCCACGCGGAAATAGAAGGCGCCTCGCAAAGAAACTGTATGTCGACGTCACACTTCGCAGCTGCAACTATTGTCACTACTGTACTATAACTATGTGTACTACTATCGTTGCGCCGCGCGCACAAGCTTCCAAATCGAGTATCTTTTTTTCTTCTGGCGAGCAAACGATCAATTTGTCTTTTTTCCTTTCCTCCCCTTACTGTCTCTGTCCCCCTATTTCATAAATACAGTCAGCCACGCACAATGTTTCGTACATTTTGTAAGAAGGCATAAACTTTGAGTAATTTCTTAATATTTTATTCCAACAGCTACAGCAAGTAGCCTTTCTGCAAGGTGTACGTATAAAAATTTTTGTGCGTGATTGCACGTGTATTACACTTTTGTTCCAAAGGTTACGTAAATCAAAAGTATTATGTTTTTTTTTTTTTTTTTTAAATTTGAGTTAAATCTAAATTGGAATTTTTCGCGCAGTTAATTGTTTTCTTAATTGCGTGACTTTTGCGACAACAGTGTGACGTATCTATATACATATTGTTACGATATCCTTCCTTTAAATGTTTCTTTTTCTTTTCGTTTTTAACCCCTCGCGATTTCGCTATATCGTGGAACGACAAGAACCGCGAGGGATTCATATTGACAAGAAGAACCCGCTGTTTCTCTGCTTCTCTGAGTCTCTCTCTCTCTCTCTCTCTCTCTCTCTCT